TTATCCTCATTTATGGCTTTAGTCTTCCTTTTGTTTGAGATTCTCTTTTTGCTACTGTTCCAGAATCGCCTGTGATGTTGCTGATGTTTTCAATGTGTTCGAGCGTCTCCTATGTTGCTGCTGATGACTTTCATGTTTTCGAGAATCTCCTGTGTTGCTGCTAATGTTTTCCCCTGTGTTCGAGAATCTCGTGTGTTACTGCTTATGTCATTGGTGTGTTCGAGATTCTCCTGTGTTACTGCTGATGTGTTTCATGTGTTCGAGAATCTCCTGTGTTGCTGCTGATGTTTCCCCTGTGTTCGAGAATCTTGTGTGATGCTGCTGATGTATTTCATGTGTTCGAGCGTCTCCTGTGCGCTGCTGATGCCTTTCATGTGTTCTAGCGTCTCCTGTGTTACTGCTGATGCCTTCCATGTGGTCGAGCGTCTCCTGTGTCTGCTGATGTCTTTCATGTGGTCGAGCGTCTCCTGTGTTACTGTTGATGACTTTCATGTTTTCGAGAATCTCTTGTGTTGCTGCTTATGTCATTGGTGTGTTCGAGATTCTCCTGTATTACTGCTGATGTGTTTCATGTGTTCGAGAATCTCCTATTTGCTGCTGATGTATTTCATGTGATCGAGCGTCTCCTGTGTTACTGCTGATGTCTTTCATGTGGTCGAGCGTCTCCTGTGCGCTGCTGATGCCTTCCATGTGTTCGAGTGTCTCCTGTGTTACTGCTGATGTCTTCCATGTTCGTTCGTTACTGCTGATGCCTCCATGTGTTCGTGTTACTGCTGATGCCTTCCGTGTGTTCGAGTGTCTCCTGTGTTACCTTTCATGTGTTCTAGCGTCTCCTGTGTTACTGCTGATGCCTTCCATGATGTCTTCCATGTGTTCGAGCGTCTCCTGTGTTACTGTTGATGACTTTCATGTTTTCGAGATGTCTTGTGTTGTGCTTATGTCATGGTGTGTTCGAAATTCTCCTGTATTACTGCTGCTGATGCCTTTCATGTGGTCGAGCGTCTCCTGTGTTACTGCTGATGTCTTTCATGTGGTCGAGCGTCTCCTGTGCGCTGCTGATGCCTTCCATGTGTTCGAGTGTCTCCTGTGTTACTGCTGATGTCTTTCATGTGGTCGAGCGTCTCCTGTGTTACTGCTGATGACTTTCATGTTTTCGAGAATCTCTTGTGTTGCTGCTTATGTCATTGGTGTGTTCGAGATTCTCCTGTATTACTGCTGATGTGTTTCATGTGTTCGAGAATCTCCTATTTGCTGCTGATGTATTTCATGTGGTCGAGCGTCTCCTGTGCGCTGCTGATGCCTTTCATGTGTTCTAGCGTCTCCTGTGTTACTGCTGAAGTCTTTCATGTGGTCAAGCGTCTCCTGTGCGCTGCTGATGCCTTTCATGTGGTCGAGCGTCTCCTGTGTTACTGCTGATGTCTTTCATGTGGTCGAGCGTCTCCTGTGCGCTGCTGATGCCTTCCATGTGTTCGAGTGTCTCCTGTGTTACTGCTGATGTCTTCCATGTGTTCGAGTGTCTCCTGTGTTACTGCTGATGCCTTCCATGTGTTCGAGTGTCTCCTGTGTTACTGCTGATGTCTTCCATGTGTTCGAGTGTCTCCTGTGTTACTGCTGATGTCTTTCATGTGGTCGAGCGTCTCCTGTGCGCTGCTGATGCCTTTCATGTGGTCGAGCGTCTCCTGTGTTACTGCTGATGTCTTTCATGTGGTCGAGCGTCTCCTGTGCGCTGCTGATGCCTTCCATGTGTTCGAGTGTCTCCTGTGTTACTGCTGATGTCTTCCATGTGTTCGAGTGTCTCCTGTGTTACTGCTGATGCCTTCCATGTGTTCGAGTGTCTCCTGTGTTGCTGATCTAGCATCTCTTGTTTTGTTGCTGCTGGTGTACTTTTGTTGTTTTTGTTTTTGATGTATTTCCTTGAGAATATCCTCAATAGTTGTCATAATCTTTCCATTTATTTCGGAATATCTCCAGTTTTCAGGGTGGGTTACCTTTATTACAGAGGAAACGTTTGTATGTGTGTTCATTTTGTCACATACACGTAAATACCGCGTTTATGATATAATTGAAGTTTGCCCTGATAACTGGTCGTGTATTGTGACTAAATCAAATCTTGAATGGATAACATTGTTCATACTTGAAACAACGTCCTACGTTGCGAGGTTCATTTATAATGTACAAGAAGTATTTTAACTGTCAAGCACGTTTCACTCAATGCTTGTAGGAATAGTAACGCTTCACAAAACTTGACTAAATTATTGAACAAGGATGCATTCTGTAAACTTTTATTCTTATTAAAAATTTGCCAAACTTCCAGGAATGACAAGAAATATCGTTTGCTGTTGTTAAGTTGAAGACAGGTTTCAACACATCGATTTATTTATAAATCGATATATTATTTCCTGCTCATGCATAGTAATATTGTAAGTGGGAATTCTCAGACGGAGTTTAAATTTGGCACATGTCACCGTATTATCAATATGGTGGAAATAAAAAGTGAATGAAAAAAAAGTGAAAATTTGACGTCAGTCCTTAAACATGATTATTCTTAATTCATGATGAAGTTACGTCTAGACGAAATTGAAAAGAACTTTATCTAAAGGCAAAAACAAAAGCATTCCTATTCCTTATTTCTTTGCATCTCGACATGTGATCTTCACACAACTCTCCGATCTACGTTACCTTGATGAACTTAGCATTTGTCACCAGTTAGTTCCTTTACGATTTCTTTTTGTTACTGATAATCTCAATATTTTATTTATGAATGGTTATTGTACTTTTTAAAATAAATGAACATAGATAAAATAAAAATAAAAGATAAACATGTAAATATAAAATTAGTACGCATGGAGTGGTTACATTTATATTGATGTTTTATCGTCAAATCTATAATTTTTTTTTTTTTTTTTTTTTGATTTTTGTTTTTAATTTTTTCTTTATTTTAACCCGTTTTTTTTTTTTTTTTTTTGGTTTGTTTGTTTGATTGTTTTTCCAATTGTTCTCACAACAACAACTTTTATTAAAGTTCTTCGAATCTAGGTTTATGCTTCGACTATAGATCTACTGTTAAAACCATGACTGTTGAAACATGTTCTATTGTTCTAAATTGAATAGGGTATTACAATAGTGGGTGACGCTATTTCAATAGTGGTGTTTGACAGTTTCTCTACTTACGAACATTCAGGATTATTGAAATAAGACACGTTATTAAAATGGCGATTGAAACCACTGCATTCTGGTATTTTATAATATGAAGCAGTAAGATTTGGAAATGGAATTTCAAAGACGAAAATGTTAAAACTTCGTTTATATGATAAACGATAGTAGGTGACAGGAGTTTTGTTTCTTCGTCTCATAAAATCATTTATTTCATTTAACATTGGTTAATTATTATATTTAATTTAAATGATTAATACAAATAGATACATAAAGCATTGTCATATCATTTAGAGTTTTAAAGATAAATAGTTAAACAGTTTTTGGTGTTGGTTCCTTTGAATTGAATTATTTATTTTGTATTTTTAACTTTTTTTAAAGCCAAATCCAATGTACATTGAAATGCTCTTAACAATAATTTATTTGGTTACTCTTTCTACCTGAAAGAAGCACTTACAAAATTATCATTAAATGAATTTAAGCGTAAGTGTTGGAAGAGTTGTGGTATATATCAAGACCAAGTGTTCTTCTGGTCTTTGTTTTGATTATAACGTTTCACGAACAATTCGTTATTTCAGAAACTGATTTAAATGAAAATAATTTCATATTATATATGATAATAAATATTCATCAGAGAGTTTTATAAATTTATCATTTTCATGTTTAATATCTGCTACATAATAAAGTGTGTCCGTTTTAAGAAAGTTACAAAATATATCAAAATATTTAGTCAAAATAATGATGAGTTGACTTTGTCTCTCTCACATCGCTTGCAGTTTGTCCATCATAAACAGAATTAGCTAAAATTGAATTAAAAAATATACATTGTGTTATAACGCAAGCGTAGCAATAAATATTCAGATGGATTCGGTCAAAATAATTAGTGTTAACCTTGCAATTATTACCTGAGAGAGCCTCATTTTGGTTTTCTTTTTTTTTTTCTAAATTAGGCAGTAAATTATCAACTTGTTTAAGTACAATAAAAGTTGAATATTTTGGTTTCGTTGGTGAAATAAAATGACTGCAATTATACAATAACATATTTTGATACGTTAAAACAGTATAACTCCTAGACACAAATTTTGCCCGTCACTTTAACAGATATTGGAGAAAAACTTTTGAACATTTTGATATGATAAGGCATTATACTTCTGCTGAAATGGAAACATTTCTGACATAATTTTATAGATAAATAAAATATAATATATTTCTTACTAATAAGTTTATTGAAAAATAAACTATTTACCATCATAGTTTTCCGTACATGATAATTTAATTTCAGAAAAATAATATATAACAGCGTTCAAATACATACAAGGTAGACAATCACATCAAAAGGTTCATTCACAAAACATAAACTAAAAATAGGATGTTACACCTTTGATATTTGAACACTTTCTATGGTTATGAACACAAATCACCACTTGATTTCGATACGGTATTTAAATCGAATTGAAACTGTGAAATTATTTGTTCAGGGTGTCTCTTTCTTGTAACTTTTAAAAAGTTAGTCATACACCTCTGTCAATAGAATGGGCGTGTTTTTTAAACCACAAAGGTATCTCGGTAGCCGTTGTTCACACGTAGAATTGGGACAGCCACTATTAGGAATGGTCAATGACGGGACCCAACATAGGACCACCATGTCACGCAAGGCACTTGTCTGCTACGAAGTGGTAGGCACACATTCCCAGTAATGTCCTTGAGACACAAATTACAAATATCCTTCTTTAATCCATTGCTCAAGTCAAGTAAAAGCATTAACGTTTTATCACCAGAGGATATAGCTTTCTGTTGTCATACAAGTGTCACTTATGTTTCCGTTTTGTACATATAGCACTGTTGTGTCATTTTCTATACATCGATGGATTAGCCATTGAACTGGGGTATTTAGCTGCTAAAGTCGAGTATGACACTCGCATCGAGTCTATCATACAATGGCTGCACGCGCACGGCACGGGCCAACGATTGGAAAACATATGCCTGTCGTGAGGTAGGACGGACGGCACGGATGCGGCAGCCTCCTTGGATGTTGTCGGCTCCATGTCGTGCGGATGAACGGACGATATACTAGGCGGTGACAATGACGGCAGTGCGTGCAAAGAGGGCACGCTCGAGGGATGTGGCGCATGAGAAGGATGCACGTGAGCTGGTGGTGCTCGAGAACGCTGACTGGCAGGGTGAACTTGGTATATGTCACTCACTAACTTTTTCATTTCATCCAAAGAACTATTCAGCATTAAGATATAATTTTTTGCCAGCAATAAAGTTGCGATTTTTGATAGTTTCCGTACGGATGGACCATTGGCATAAGGCATCACTTCTCGCAATCCGTCTAATGCAGAATTGAGATCATGCATCCGGCGTCGTTCTCGAGAATTTATCTTCAATCTTAATTCCTGTAGTTCACTTTCGTTCATACATTTTGTCTGGAGAAGTTTTCGTTTGTTGTTTACATCTTTCATTTCATCGGAACAGCCAAGTGATGATGTTGACATGGGATAATGCTGGTGTTCCCTGGACATTTCATCGTCTGAAGAAAGTCCCGGACTCCGGGCGTGATACTCCATGTCCAATTGTGGCGACAAATCCGAACGACTCTCCATCAGCCTTACACTTGCTACCAATGTTTAGTACTTGAGGTTTCAATACGTGTATGGGCACCCGATCAATTTGTCGACTACTTTGTACGACGTGTCTGTAAGAACTGTTCCTTTTTCATGGGAACCAATCACCCGTTTTAAAAGGATGCAAGAAAGAGTGTGAGGCCTTGTCTGAGTCTGGTTGTGGGCGGGACCTCATGGTTCGTCGTTACGGCTAATGGCCAGCCCACGTCTCCTCAGCAAGGCGTCCCGCCGTTACCTGCTTGTTTGCATATTTTTCAAAATAAACGATTTCTATTGCATGTAAAGTAAGGCATTGTGACCCTAATCTGTTTGGGGGTATTGTCGCATGTTGTTCTTTATAGTAATGACCCAAAATAGCCAGCACAATTGGGAACATGTACATCGTGTCATTTAGACTGGTTTTCACGTGTGAATTATCTTATCCATACCTACACAAATGATTTTATATCAATAAGATCTTGTCAGAAATTTTATCAATACTATCAATTCAAAGTCGTATTAAAGATATTAAAATGTAGTTATGATATTATTGCACATAAAGACTTTAGATATAAGATTTATACTTGAATCTTTTATTAAATTAAAAATCTGTCGAAAGTTCAATGCATAATTACATAACTTTAAAATAACTGTAATAAATTTCGAAAAGTCACAGACATGAGCTCAATAGAATTATTTCTAAGGCAAGATTATTAATAGTTGACCATTCTGATATTACGTCAATAAGTCTAGATTTTTATGTATCTTTTATATGATACTAAATCTTTAAAAAAAATTAGTTTCAAGAATTTGTTAGGAAGATAGTTATTTATTTTCCCGGAAAGTACAGAAATAAAGACCGTTATTAAAAGTCATAGGTGAAATATTAATACTTTTACGAATTTTCACACAATGATAAAATATTTTTTTTATCGGGGAAGATAAAATTTTCTGGCCTGCACAGCTTTTAGTCGAAATTAACAAATGTTAAAGAAAACATTAAAAATGAGTAGTTAAATTTTAAATGCCCGTGTAGAAGTTAATTCTGTCACTATGGTGTGAAATACAGTAGAGGCTGACACCTGTCTCAAGTGACTCCAATCCACAGGCTGTATAATAGGTATTAGCAGGTATAAAACAGTGGGACACTGGTCTTAGGTCCTCAGTTCAGACCATTCCATGCTGTAATATAATACGGAACACCCTGCGAAAGCAATCAACGTTTAATTACCTTTCTATGCATCGGAACATTTTCTTTTAAATGTGTATAATTTCAGAAAAAGGACACATACTAATATTTAATGCCATGGATGTTTTTGATTTCTGGAACAATAGTGTGGTCAAGTGTATGTTTACCCGCTGTCTCCGGAGCCCGTCTCCTGGCGACAGGGCCTCCCTGACCACGCCCACCACAAGGCGGGAAAATGGCGGAGGCAGGCAAATCAATTACACGTGAACAGAAATCAGCCATGGACGTATTTGTGTGGAGTGAAGAGGGAGGACCGCTCGCGTGATAAAGTTCTCTTCTGTCATCAACATCAACATTAAATGCAAATGCGGATATTATTTATTTTATCAGAAATGATTCTGGGTCCCAGAGCACATAAGTCAGAGACTAGATGGTTTTATAGACCAGATCGAATGATTTCCCTCTCATACATCTGATATCGGATGCTGTAGTTGTCTCCGAAAATTAATTCAAATTATAGCTTTAGAAAAGTTAATTTTCTGTGGTGAAAGAACAAGTTTTTCAAAGTAAAAAATTCCCACATAGATTATTTTCAGTCGGCCATTAGTTTCAATAGAAAACAAAGTAAGCCATTTAAGTTTAATCAGCGAAAATATATGGCATTTAATGACTTTACAAAATTCACATACACAAATTTATAATGAACATCAATTACACAATATAACTGTATTAAAGCTATAGGTTATTTTTATATTGTATTTAATTGCTAGAAGAAACCGCTGCGCATTTGACATTCATCTTTTGCTGTATTTTATTAATATTATCATTTAATGAACAAAATATTTTGATAAAAAGGATGTAGTTTGGACACGTATTATGAATTTTGTCACTTAACTATTCATTTTGTTAAAAAGAAAACTCTCCATTTTACTGACTTTGTGATAACATCATTATGACTGAACTAATTCCAGCTCTGACTGATTTCTATAATATGATATGTATTTCATATTGAAAATTAAATTGTATATTTTTTTCATAAAAGATTTAAACAAAAGATAATTAAGTGAATAGCACTTTTCAATAAAAGGTTAAGAATTAAACTGCATCATACAGCTGTTTCGTCCTTCTAGGACTCGTCAGTGATACTAAGGGCCTAGGAATTATAGGAGGCGATTGAAGAAAAACCAAAACTGATTGATTAAATGAAATGCTAAAATATAGATGGCAAGGAGCACTTGTCCCTGGCGTGCAGGTTACGACAAACCTTGAAGACTAAATGTCCACCAGCAGTTCTTACTATCTGCTAGGACTGAAAAAATATTTTCATAATACATATATTTTTTTCACAATTCTCATATCAATGTATTTTACTTTTTTATACACTGTATATATCTAGATTTTAAAATACGGTATTATAGGACGTGTATTTAAAATAATCGGCACTTCAATAATTATAATGATAATAATTTGCACATAAGCAAAACTTGTAAACGGATATTTCTCAAAGAATACCCATTACCAAATAGCCATATAATTAAATTATGTTAACTCATACACTACAACCTTCACGGCAGACCATTTATCTACTATATTTCAGTTTAAACATTTTTTTCCCAATTTTTAAGTTTTACTTAACATGTTCTATGCTCATTTGGGGAGACACGGGTCATGTCTTAATTGAGGAAATGTACAATTCACAAATATGTAAAAAATTTAAATTAATTAAACAAAAAATGATAATCTTAAAGAAAACATTGAAAATATATATTTTTATATTCTCCTCCGTTTTTGCACGTGGTCAATTTGTAAACAATAAAAAAAGTAAAGTGAAGGCAGATATTATTTTGGCATTTAATCATAAAATAAATATGTAATATTCAATACTATTCTTGCATGAAATCATCAAAATAAGTTAGGGAAATTATTTAATACTGAAGTTTTTTAATTACAGAAATGACTAATAAATATTCAATAACATTTTAAATGTACAAAAAAAAAAAAAAAAACCAAAAAAAAAAAAAAAAAAAAAAAAAAAAAAACAAAAAAAACAAAAAAAAAATACTTAACACCATTTGTCATTATTTTCAAATCTGTATATTTCAGTTTTTAATGTGTATTTGGATTGAAAAACGATATTATAGAACGTGTATTTCAAATAGACTGCACTTCAATAATAATAATAATAATGATAGTAATTTGCACATGAACAAAACTTCTTAAAGAATATTTCTCAGTGAATATCTATCACCAAACAGCCATACAATTAAAGTTTGTTGACTCATCCACATCAACCTGCACGGCAAACCGTCGCCATGTATCTATCCTATTTCAGTACACGAGACAAATGTGGAGTAGAAGCGTTTTCACCCAAAACCCAGATTGTCATTAATTTTGTTTTAATTTCCCATCACATCGAAGTGAGTGTTTCTAAACTATGATAGCTTTAACCTTTAGAGCGAATGATATAAATCTGAATATAATATAACTTTGTTTTTACCGAAATCATGTTGTTATCCTTTCCTTATTTGTCACAAAAATGTGTTTGCCTAAAACTACTGTTAGCGTCGTCTTGATAACAGTACGATGCTCATCAAATTCACATACTATCAGTTGACATCAATATTCATTTTTTTCTGTTTTGCATGTTTTACTCATAATAGCTAATAGATATTGAAATTTTCCTCCATATTTGACGCTTATTGTCGGTGAAGAATAATTAAACAGGTACTCAATTTAATTTTATTCAATTTATTAATTAAACATTAAGAAAATATAAGCCTTTATTTCTAAACCATCAATGTAATGTTTTAAGTAGGATTAATGATATCATAGAAACTCCTCCCTCACCTTTAGGCCTTGACAACAGAAAGCCACATCTGTTATTTAAAACATCGTAACGAAGTGGCGCTATTTTTTAACACGTAAACCTCGTCTTTTGCAAACTGACTATGTTTGGACACGGAGATATCCCTACTATGCATATCATATTACATAATGCCCGTTGATTGTTTTTCGCACCGTGTCCTTATTGGTTTGTATCACGCGAGGTCAAGTCGGTTACCTTTGAGCAAACAATTAGACCTCATTATCATTTTAGCAACCAATTTATTTTTGGTTTATAAAATCAATGCGATGCCTATTATGGTATTTCTTCATATGCTTATGAAAGACAAACCTTTAAACTTAAGTAATGTAAATAAGTCGAATGAATATTCTAATAATGTACATGTAAATGCTGTTTTGAACATTATTGTGTGCTATGTATTACTCCTTTGTCTTTACTACTCCCTCTATATTTGGGGACCGTACCCCAACTTGAACTTTGTAAGTGTTATTGACAGTTGGTCGATTGGCATGGGTAGTGTATATTTAATATATTTTCAACATTTACTCGTACGTTGTGGAGATATTGAAAGTAACCCGGGTCCTGGTAGTTCATCCCTTTCAGATTTATCAATTCTTAACCAAGATTATTTATCATTAGTGCACTACAACGTTCAGAGCCTTTTACCTAAAGTGGACTTAATCTTTAGTGAACTACATCAATATGATATCTTATCCTTTACTGAAACTTGGTTATCACCTACAACAGAAAAGTCCGGCGAACTACTTCTTTCTAAATTTCATGACCCTTTTGTAAAATCTCGGTCTGATAGAATCGGTGGGGGTATTGCCGTGTATGTTAATAAAAATATTACTGCGATCCGGCGTTCGGAATTTGAAATTAATAATCTAGAATGCATTTGGATAGAACTGCAGCTTAACAATAAAATTATTATGCTAGGAACCTTTTATAGACCTCCGAACTCTG